TTTCACAACACACCCATCACAACCTGACTTCCATACACACTTACATGTTACCAAGAATGTAAGTCCTATGAAGGAAAGGAATATGCTCACTGTTTTATCTCCAACACTTAGAGCAGATATCAAGTGAGTGAAATTAAAAAAAAAAAAAATTTAAAAAAAGAGTAAGAATTGTTGAGTAAATGAATAAATGCATCTTAACTACTGTTTTACAAATACCTTTTTAAAAATGGAACCATGGGGCGCCTGGGTGGCTTAGTCGTTAAGCGTCTGCCTTTGGCTCAGGTCATGATCCCAGGGTCCTGGGATCTGCCTGCTAAGGGTTCCCTGCTCTGCGGGAAGCCTGCTTCTCCCTCTCCCCTGCCTGCCACTCCCCCTGCTTAAGTGCATGTGCGCATTCTCTCTCTCTCTGTCAAATAAATAAATAAAATCTTTAAAAAAGTGGATACTTTCCTGTTTTAAGAAAATGATGCACTATACATATGGTATATAGGTTAACACAAATTTATGTAGCTAAGTTTCTATTGATGGATATTTCTGATACCCATTTTCTTTCTTTTGCAAACATTCTTGTTTACATTTCTTTACATACTTGAGGAAACTATTTAGGGTAAATGTGTGGCAGTAGAAATATTAGGTCAAAAGCATGTTTGTTTTTCATTTTCATGGATATTGCCTCCCAAGCAAGGTTTCAAGGCCAACAGTGCATACAAATGCCTATTTCCCTGCGTCCTTGCCCAAATCGGGTCTTATCAGACTCGGTTTTTGCTAATCTAATATGTGAAACTGATCCCTTGCTCTGATTTACACTTCTTGAATTCTGATTGAAATGGAAAATTAAAAAGTTTTTTTGAGGGGCGCCCGGGTGGCTCAGTCGTTGAGCCTCTGCCTTCAGCTCAGGTCGTGATCCCGGGGTCCTGGGATCGAGCCCCGCATCGGGCTCCCTGCTCGGCGGGAAGCCTGCTTCTCCCTCTCCCACTCCCCCTGCTTGTGTTCCCTCTCTCACTGTGTCTCTCTCTGTCAAATAAATAAATAAAATCTTAAAAAAAAAAGTTTTTTTGATGGACATGGATAATCCTCTGTGAATTGCTTGCTTATTTCTTTTATTTAAGAGATTTTCTTTTTCATATTGATTTATTATAGCTCTTTATAGAATAAAGAAATATGCCTTTTGTCTATTGTATGTGTTGCAAACATTTTCTCCTAACTTGTCCTTTGTCCTTTGACTTTATTTTTGGTAGTTTTTGCCATACAGAATATAAAAAATTTTTCTGTAGTCAAATCTATCAAACTTCTAGTGAATGGCTTCTGTGTTTGTTTTTTTTTTTAATGTTTTATTTATTTATTCATGAGAGTCAGAGAGAGAGAGAGAGGCAGAGGGAGAAGCAGGCTCCCCGCCTAGCAGGGAGCCCGAGGCAGGGCTCGATCCCAGGACCCTGGGATCATGACCTGAGCCAAAGGCAGATGCTTAACCATCTGAGCCACCCAGGCGCCCAATGGCTTCTGTGTTTTATGCCAAGTTTGGAAAGGTCTTTCTCAGTTTAATATATTAAAAAAAAAAAACAATTTATTTTATTATTAAAATTTTCCTGCTGAAATACCACTTTTATTATTTATTCAATTGCCATATGTATTTTGGGTCTCTTTATTGGGTTTCATTAATCTTTATTATTTATTAACAATTTTGTTTGATTATTGTAGTTTTAATATGCCTTAATTACCTGTAGGGTTGGTTTTCTTTCATTATTCTTATTTTTCAGAATTTTGTGGTGGATCCCACAGTTTGTTTTTCAAGAAGAATTTTAGAAACATTTAATCATGTTAAAAAGAATCCTATAGAGGGACGCCTGGATGGCTCAGTCAGAAGAGTGTGTGACTCTTGAACTCAGGGTTGTGAGTTTGAGCCCCATGTTGGGTGTAGAGGTTACTAAAAAAGAGTAAAATAAAATAAAACTTAAAAAAAGGAATCCTGTAGATACTTAATTAGGATCATATAAAATTATATTTCAGGGAAAATTGACATCTTTACACTATTGAGTCTTTCAAAAAAAGGGTACATTTTTCTATTCATGTTTTCTCATATTCTTCAGTTCATTTTTCTTTACAGAAGCTTAATCGATTTCTTAATTTGTGACTAAGTGCTTTATTTCATTTGTTACTATTTAAAAAAAATATTTTATTTATTCATTTTACAGAGATAGAGAGAGAGAGAGAGAGAGAGAGAGCGCATGCGTGAACGCACAAGCAGGGCGAGTGGGAGAGGGAGAGGGAGAAGCAGGCTCTCTGCTGAGCAGGGAGCCCAGTGCGGGGCTCCATCCCAGGAGCCTTAGATCATGACCTGAGCCAAGGCACATGCTTACCTGACTGAGCCACCCAGGTGCCCCCATTTGTTACTCTTTTAAACAGGATCTTTCGTATACTTTCTGACTGGGGGGAAGAAATACAGAGTAGTGGATAAGAGCATTAAGCTTTGAGTCAGAAAATCTAGGTTCAAATGCGGATTCTAGCTTGTCTTCCCTGGTCACCCACTCCTTCTGAGCCTTAATTTCTTTTTTTTTTTAATATTTTATTTTATTTATTTGATAGAGAGACAGCGAGAGAGAATACAAGCAGGGAGAGTGGGAGAGGGAGAAGCAGGCCTCCCACTGAGCAGGGAGCCCGATGTGGGGCTTGATCCCAGGACCCTGGGATCATGACCTGAGCCGAAGGCAGACGCCTAACGACTGAGCCACCCAGCCGCCCCTGAGCCTTAATTTCTTATCTGTGAAATAGACTTCTAATAATACCTTCCTTGTTGGATTGCATTTATTCAATCAATATTTATTGAGCACCTACTCTGTCCTGTCCTGACACTGTCCTAGGCTTTGGGTTACAGTGACGAACAGGCATCTGCTATGTGCCAGACATTCTCCCTGGCACTGGGATTACAATGGGGAACAAGGTGGACAAGGTCCCCGTCATTCCAGCAGATTATGAAGTTAGATGGAGTAAGGCATGTCCTGTGTTTAGCATAAGCCTTGGAACAGTCAGCACTATTAAGTGCTTACAGTTGTTGAAATGTTGGTCATTATCGCTCTTGGTTTTTCCTAGGTCTGCAATTATATAACTGCTGATATAATAAGAGGTGAATTTGCCTCTCCTTTCCTAATACTTATACCTTTTATTTCTTTCTCTTGATTAATTGTATGTCTTCCTCCCTCCCAATATAATGTTACACTGGGCATCTTTGCCTTCCACTGGCAGTTCTTATAGTGTTTTAAATTAAACATGATTGTGGGGGCACCTGGGGGTTCAATTGATTAAGTGTCTGCCTTCGGCTCGGGTCATGATCCCAGGGTCTTGGATTTGAGCCCTGTGTCGGGATCCCTGCTCAGCGGGCGTCTGCTTCTCCCTCTGCCTCTCCCCCCACTTGTGCTTGCTGTCTCTCTCTCCCAAATAAATATTAAAAAAAAAAAAAAAAAAAAAGGCATGATTGTGGCTTTTACAAAGGTCTTGCTTAGCTTTTCTATGAATTAGCTTTAGCTTTGTGCCCTCTGTGGATTTGGCATGTCTGCTCTGCCTTCATGCAAATATTGATTCAAATATTGAGCATTAGGCTCTGCCTGCGGCACCTTTCTCTAGCTTGACATCAATCCATCGTTCAATAGGTTATGTTTTGGTTGTGATTGTTTATCTAGTAACAGATCCTTTGATCATGGGTCCAGTTTATATGTCCTTTGATTTCACAGTCCTGTCATGCGAGACTTTGTCAAGGACAAAATCAGATACCCCATTCTTTGCCATTCCTCTGATCAACCAGGCTAATAACCAAACTGGAAAAAATGAGACTATGTTGGGGTTATGCAAATGAGCAGCTTAGGGCCATGAATTTCTCTAGCTTTCTGTGAAGGAGGAAGGTGGCCTGAGAGGGCTCTGAGGACCCAGAGTGGGCCCGTGCCTGCGTGGGCCCCCCGAGGTCCTGTGCTCTGAGGATGGCCAGAGTGGGTCCTTGAGCAAATCACAGGTGCAGTGCTGTGCCGGAGCTCACCAGCTGTGGGCGAGAGCCCACTGTGTGCATCTCTTCCCAGCTCTGTGTTCAGAGACACCATGTTTGTGGTTCACAGTCAGCCGTGGGGGGAGTGTTTACACACTGGCAAACACTACGAGTCGGGCCCCCTGCCATTGCAGCCCAGCTGGTTTGGAGAGGTGGTTAACTGCCCGACCCCGTGGCAGCGCCGTCCGGGGGCTGCAGCCGGGCAGGTCCTATATGGAGAGAGTGGAGATGAGCAGTTTTGGCCTCTCTCCCTGTCTTGAGAACTCTCACTTCTAACCCCACCCTTTCCTTTGGTGTCTCCTCAGGATGTGGGCTCCTTAGATGAGAAGATGAAGAGCTTGGATGTGAATCAGGACTCCGAGCTCAAGTTCCACGAATACTGGAGACTGATAGGGGAGCTGGCCAAGGAGATCCGGAAGGAGAGGGCCCTGGAGATCCGGAAGAAGTAAAGCCCTGACCAGGATAGTGCTGGGCGGGGCCAGCCAGGCAGAACCCCACTCCCTCCAAAAAAAGCCTCTTCCTTGAAACATAAATGTTTCTTATTCCCACCCTACCCCTCTTTCTTCTCTTGAGAGTAAGCAGTGGATAAGTTCTGCCCTGAACCAAGAGTGGGTCCAAAAATTATGAGCTCTTGGGGCACCTGGGTGGCTCAGTTGGTTAAGTGTCTGCCTTTAGCTCAAGTCATGATCCCAGGGTCCTGGGATCGAGCCCTGTGTCAGTTCCCTGCTCTGCGGGGAGCCTGCTTCTCCCTCTCCCTCTGAAGCTCCCCCTGCTTGTGCTTTTTCTCTGTCAAATAAATAAATAAGTCTTAAAAAAAATTATGAGCTCTTTAAGGACCAGGAATGTTAGTCATCTTTGGATTCGACAGCATCTAGCACCAGGTCTTAGACGGGGTAGGTGCTCAATAAGTAAATGGTTGATGAATGAGTATATGAAAGGAAGGAACAGATCTCTGGGGCAGGTGTAGTGAGTCCTATTCTGCCAGGTGCCTCCGCAGCTCCCACTTTTCTTATTCCTGGGGTTTGTGTCATTGGATGGTAAGGATAGCAGTGAACTTGGGTTGAGGGCTTGCTGTGTACCAGGCACAGTACTAAACACTTTTCCTGTGTTAAGTTAGTTAATTCTCACAGCCCTTTGAGGTAGGTACTATTTTTTTCCACATTTTTATTTAAATTCTAGTTAGTTAACATATGGTGTGGTATTGACTTCAGTGATTCATCGCTTCCATGCACCACCCAGTGCTCATCACAACAGGTGCCCTCCTTACTGCCTGTCCCCCGTCTAGCCCATCCCCTGCCCACTGCCCTCCAGGGAGGTGCTATTTTTAGGTCCTATATTAGAGATGAGGAGACAGATTTTAGAGAGGCTGAGCTCACAAAGACAAGAATAGGTGGAACTGGGTTGATGTTCCATAGCCTCTGTGATGAACTAGGATCATCTCTGGATGGGCAGCTTGGGAACACTAGGCCCTCCTCTCCTTCCTCCCTGCATAGCAGGGGTGAGGCAGAAGAATGGACACAAGGATCTGGTATGAAGACTGTGGGATGGACAGTGGTGCCCTTCTCCCCATCCTTCTTGGCTTGAGGGGCGTATGGTTTGCATTGCTCGCCACCAGAGGGAGCAGAGGCAGGGCAGCCCAGTGGGTGAGGCCTTCCGTCGGCTGTCACTGCCAGGGTCTGGTGTCCATTACTCCAGAGGAACATTTAGGTTGAGACAACCTCCCTACCACACACCAAAAAGGGTCCTAGATTGAGACCTTCCATCTAAGTGCCCTCAGACTGGGAGACCCCAGAAGGACCCCCAGGCTGGGACTCTGAGGGGTTATTTGGCTGAAGACATTCCAGAGGGGATCTCACAGGGGGCTTCCCCGCAGCGAGAGACTCTAGGAGGGTCCCCCAGACTGAGACTCCTCAGTGGGATCCAAGTTTGAGGCACTCTTGGAGAAACCCTCAGATTGAGCCCCTCAGGGGGTCCCCAGATTGAGACCCTCTGAGGAACACAAGATGATGAGATAACTCTTGGGAGGGCATTTTCATGGAGACACTTCTAGAAGTACAGGGGAGCCCTAGAAGGAGACACAGGGACGGGCTGGGAGGGGTGTGGGAGACATGCTTCTGACCTCAGAGTTCAGGCTTTGGGCCCCACCCCATCCTTGCCTTGACCCACACTAACTCACCTGCCCTTCTCCCTTCCCCCTCCCCATCAGGTGAGGAGGTCCACTGGGGTCATTCCAGGCTTCCTGGGATGTCATCCTGGGCACTGGATTGGGGTGGGGGTGTTAGGGAAGGCATGGGTTTCTGAGGGAGGGAGAAGTAGGCAGCCCAACCTGTTTGGAGAGGTTGTTAACTGCCAGGTAACCCATCTGGGTCTCTCTCACTCATGTGCTTGCTGGCTGAGGGGAGCTGAAGGGGAGTCGGGACAACACTCAGTCGGGCCCCCTCTACCAGGCTGCCCTTCTGTGGCTCCTTCCCCACCTCTCAGCCATGGGGACTGCAGGTATGAGTGTCACCATCCAAATTGGCCCTGTTGGGAGGAGTATGAGTGCGTGTGTGTGATATGGCAAAGTACAGAGTGGTCCCTGGGGACCTCTCTCAATTCACATGTCCCTCATTCCCTCTGGACCACAAGCCCTGCCTCGATCAGCCTCTGATTCTCCTCAAAGCCCCTCCACTTCCCTGCCCTACAATTCCTCCAGGATTTTCCTCCTGGGCTTCACCCTGCAGTGTTGCCAAGCCCCCACTCTTCCCTTCCCTTTCTCTTGCCTTGACTCTGCCTGCTGGTCTGGGGCCAGGGGCAATCCAGACCCAGCCCTCCATGGTCCCCTCCAGTGGCAGGGTGGGCGGGCTCTTGGAGCTCTGGCCAATGGAGGGTGGGGCCCACACAGCTGGCTCACAGCCCAGACCACAGTAATAGCAGGGGCGGCTTAGGGAGGAGGCCCAGCCCCCTGCCTTCCCTCCCTGCCCCCAGGTATAAGAGCCGAGCTCAGGTGAGCCAACTCCTAGCATCCTGTCCCAGCAGCTCCCAGCAGGTAAGGAGACACAGGGCTTTTCAACTAAATGGGCTGCCCCCTGTCCAGAGGGCAACACTTGGCTATTCTACCCTGGCCTGCCAGGAGAAGGGCTGGGGGCCAGGTCCTAGAGGCTGGAGTGTGTGTGTGTGCGCGCGCATAGCAGAGGTGAGTGGTGGGAAGAAGTGGGAGGATTGATCTAGGGTGAGGCCCAAGGGATTCCCTCTGGATGGGTGGGCCTGGGGGCTGTGACCTTAGCTCCTGCCTGGATCCTTCCCAGGGACCGGGCCTCGGGTGGAGCTGGCCCCGACCTCCTGAGTGAGGCACAGAATATCTGGGGTACAGCCAGAGGGGATAGTTGAGAAAGAAATGCTGAGCCCTCCCCTCCCCTCGGTCTCCCTCCTCTAGGCAGATCATGAGCCATCGGCTCCCCTGCGGCCAGCTGTAGGACAACACAACTCTCACCAGGATAAGCACACTGGGCGCCATGGGACAGTGTCGGTCAGCCAATGCTGAGGTGGGCCCATTCATGCCTGGCCTTTCTGTTCCCATGCTCCCCTCCTCCACCTTGAGGGTCTGCGTCCCTCTTGACTTCTGCTGCCTTGCCTTGGCCTTGCCTTGTACCCTAGACCTTGCCTGGAAGACCCAAACTCCTCCCTGGTGTCTACACAGGGTGATGTGTCCACACAAGGAGCCCTCCGGGGAAGAGGTGTCCATGCCTCGTGCTAGAACCCATCCTGCGTGGGGGCTGCCAGTGACAGGGAGGAAGCCTTGCTTGGCCTGTGGCTCACGGCAGAGGCCAGTGGGGGCAGGGGGCTAGATGCTGGGCTCTGGAGTGGGTGGGAGCGCCTGTGCCTTCCAGCTGTCTTCTGCCCCATTAGCCAGGGTGCTGTTAGGTGGGTGGGGCCTCCCTGATGCTGCTGATGTCCCCTGCCCTCAGGATGCGCAGGAATTCAGCGACGTGGAGAGGGCCATTGAGACCCTCATCAAGAACTTCCACCAGTACTCTGTGGAGGGTGGGAAGGAGACGCTGACCGCCTCCGAACTACAGGACCTGGTCACCCAGCAGCTGCCCCACCTCATTCAGGTACCGAGTGGGCCCCAGCCCAGGCAGCGCCCTGACTTCCCCAGCAGGGTCTCCAAGACCCCACCCACTGTGCCCCGGCCCCGGGCATTAGCAGCCCCGGACCTTCCCCTTGCCAGTGCCGGGCACAGGTTCTGCTTCCTGCCCCCGGGCAGGGCGGGGCAGGAAGGTTGGAGGTTCTGCCTTGCTGAGCTGTGGTGTCTTCCCTCCCTTCAGAGCAACTGTGGGCTGGAAGAGAAAATTGCCAGCTTGGGCAGCTGTACCGATTCTAAACTGGAGTTTGGGAGTTTCTGGGAGCTGATTGGAGAAGCAGCCAGGAGTGTGAAGCTGGAGAGCCCTGTCCGGGGCAGCTGAGAACCTTTTCCTGGAATTCTTGGGGGGGATGTTGGGATCTAGAAATAAAAGTCCTCTCCACCTGCACCACACGATTCCCCCGTCTGCACCTGCCTCACCTCTGCAAGGTTCAAGTCCTCAGTGACCCTTCCCAGGGCTCTCTGTGCACTTCATCCCTGGGAGCGCCATGGAGCTAACGGGTCCAGGAGTCCCCACCAGAGGGGGGCTCAGGGTGGGTGGGGGCCAGGGATAGGTGTGGTGAGCTGCTGGAGGGATAGGGATGGTGAGAGGGCCAAGTAATTCGGTTGGGGGGGTGGGAGGGCAGAGAGGAGGTGGGCTACCGGAAATGACTGGAAGAAGGGGGCTGGGAATGGGGCTGGGTATTTGTTACTAAAAAGGGTCTCTGAGAACCTGCCCTTCCTAATCTCTTCCCCAACCCACACAGTAGCTGTCTGTCCAGTGCTACACCTTCCTGCCTCCAGCTCTGCCCCAGCCTTGTCCCAGCACTCTGTCCCTGGCCCAGGGCAGGGGACGAGAAAGAGAGGTGGAGGAGGGTGTTACTTTGGGAGAGGACCAGCTGGGTGCTTGGGCATTTAAAGAATGACGGTTGTTTTGTATCATTTGATTAATAAAAAAATGGAAAAAGAAAAAATGTTGTCTTGACTGGACACCCACCCCCCACCTCGGTCCACGGGTGGTTTGGGGTGAATGGCAGAGTCCTTGGTGGCCCGGGACACGTGGGGCTGCAGTGGTTGCAGTGGGAGTGAGTGGGGACTCACTTTTCCCCATGGATTTGGCTTGAGGATGGGTCCCAGGCCCCAAGCTGGGAGACCTGGTTCTCTCTGAAGGAGAGGCTTCTCTTTGCCAAGGACCTGGTCCTCTGACAGGAGAGAGGCCATGTGTGCTCACCTGGGGAAGCGCTTATGGACCCCGGTGTGCTGGACCTTGGCTGACTGGCAGCAAGGGAAAGGCAGGGCTGAGAAACAGGCCAAGCAGCCTGGGTTTGCGCCCAGCTCTGCCACTGAGCATCTCTGGAGCTTTGGGCGTGCTCCCGGAGTGTCAGTTTCCTCATCTGTAAAATGGGGTCTTCATATCTCTCATAGATTTGTTAAGAGGATAGTGGACACATCACATAAAGTCCTTAGAAGAGAGTCTGACACAGAGCAAGCGCCCAGAGCTGAAGTCTCTACTGGCCAATTCCCTTGGGTGTCCTGGGGAAGGGTGTTCCCAGAAGAATCCTCTGCTGCACCTGACAGGTCCTAGGAATGGGTGTCAGCTCCTGGTGGTCGGAACGGGAGTCGCAAGACCAGGGGCCAGGCTCTGCTGCGGCTTCTGACTGGGGCCCACAGAAATCAGGCATTACTCCTGAAATCCTAAGAGCAAGGAAGTTTCTGTGGCCAACCAGGCTGGCCTGGAATGCTCACTGAACTTGTCTGTTGGGGGACCCTGAAACTGGGCTCCCAGTGATCCAGGTGATCAGGGCAGGTGACAGCCCTTCCCTTTCTTCTCCACCGACTAGATTCTTTCTGCTCAAGCCCTGCAGGATGAGGAGGGTGGAGTTGGGGGGGGGGTGCCTGCTTCCACCACTCCCTTTGGGGTGGGGGTGGAGGGGTGTTAAAAAGGTGTGTATCTCTTTAACAAGGGCCCAACCCCAGGGCTAAGTCAAGAGGGAGCTCAGTCACTACCTCCCCACCGAGCCAGCTCAGCCAGGCACGCTGCTGAGGGAGTGGGACAGATTCTGGGAGCGAAGCGGGGAGGAGTCCTGGCCGAGCTGAGCGGGGCGGGGGGAGCTGCTTGGCAGTGCCAGAGCCCAGGCCCCAGAGCCCTGCTGGAGAGGAGACAGTCGAGGAGGCAGGTGAGCACCCCCAGCCCATCCTGGGAGGTCTGGGGCTGCTGGAGAGGCCCTGCAAGCATTTGGGGCCAGGAGGAGGGGCAGTGAAGGGAGCCTGGAGCGGGGGGCCTGCTAGAGACTGGGCAGGAAGGTCCGGTTAATTGTTAATTTTCCCACAGGCTGGTTTGGGAATGGAGACTTCTGGTGGGGCTGGGGGCTGGAGAGGACTTCAGAGGTGTGGATGGGGTGGGGAGACCCCTTCCCTACCCCAGAGGCTGACGGGGCTCTTCTCCAGGGCCGTGCCACAAGGCAGAGTGCTCAGGAGCTTTGTCGCAGCTGCTCCGATCCTCCCTTAACAGAAAAAGGACAAACGCGTGTTGGTGGGGGTGGGGAGGTGGTCAGACCTGGACACAGGCCTCACCCAGCTCTGGGAACTGTGTCCTGGGAGAGGTGATGGGGTCCAGGAGGAACCAGGAAGGGCCCAGCGAGCCTGAGAGCCGAGGAGAGGAGGCCGTTTCCACTTCAGGACCCAGGCAGGCTGTGGCTTGACTGGCTTCGCTTGGTGGAGCCACCTGCACTGTTGGGGCCTTGTGGTGCCCAGCCCGGCAGGGTTGGGGGTGAGGGCAGGGGCGCTCTGAGAGGGAGCACTGCGAGTGCCGGTGGGCCGGGCTCAGCCTTCCTTGCTGACTAGTAAAGAGCTCTTGGCTGTTGGTGAGACCAGGGGACCAGGGGCAGTGGGCTGTGTGAGTGTCCACACCGTAGTCCAACTCCACTCGTCTGGACGCTGCTCCGGAGGATGGACTTATTCCTCCAGAGACAGGCTCTAAAGCAGAGGGGGGTGGATGGGGCATGGGGGCTCTGAGTGTGGATGTGTGAATTAGGTGCAGTGAGTCCTGTGAGGGTGGGGGTGGGCAGGGGCTCCTGTGTGAGACCGTAGCCTCTGGAACCAGGAAAGGAGTGAGAAGAGGGGGCACAGAATGGGGCCGTTGAGGTTGGAGATATTCATTGGAAACAGCCTTGTAAATAGAGTGACAAGGTACCAGCCAGTCCGGATCGCACCTTCCCTGAGTACCGAAGGCACTTGGGGCAGACGAATGAATGAAGAAGGAAAGGAATGAGTGAGTGAACGAGAGGACTAGCAGGTGATTGAATGAGTGAATAAATGAGCTGATGGATGACGAAGGAAATAAATGATGAGAAATGAGTGAACTGGGGCGCCTGGGTGGCTCAGTCATCAAGCGTCTGCTTTCGGCTCAGGTCATGATCCCAGGGTCCTGGCATCGAGCCCCGAATCAGGCTCCCTGCTCTGCGGGGAGCCTGCTTCTCCCTCTCCCTCTTGCCCTGCTTGTGTTCCTTCTCTCACTGTGTCTCTTTCTGTCAAATAAATAAATAAATAAATAAATAAATAAATAAATAAATAAATAAATAAATAAAAGAAATGAGTGAACGAATTTGAGGTGTATGAAAGGGACACAGGAAACGCCAAATTCAGGCTTGAGAGTGGGCCAAGCTCTAGAGAGGACGGTGACCAGGAGGCATAAAAGTTCAGGGACATCTCCCAACACCTAGAGACCATTCGAGACTTGAGAAGAGTATGTGTAGTGGGGAGAGAGGGTGGATTTGTGTGTGGTGGATGTTCAGGGCTCCAGACTGAAGGGGACTGGGGGTGGTTAGGAGGCAATTGGAGGGGTGAGGCCTAGAACCTGGGGGTGGGAGGCGGGGCTGCTGTGGCCAAGACCCAGGGTCAAGGGTCAGAGCGCTCCTAGGCTTTGGGAGAAGTCAGCAAGCTGGACTGAGGTGGGCGGGGATGGGGGTGGGGCCTCTGGGTTGCTCAAGGATGAATCAGCTAAGGAAGGGACAAGGAGAACATTGGGGGAGGATTGGGGGCTCTGGGTGAGAAGGCCCTTTGGAGGACAAGTGGTCCCCCCACTCCTACATTTTGGGAAGGCTCTAATGTACATGTCCACCCCACCCCCCAGGCTCTCAGGCCAGGACCTACCTCCTGCCAACCCTTCCTAGGAGGGACTGATGGGACAGCTTGGCTCTCCAGCCTGATTCCAACTTGGTTGGTGGCTGAATGCGGCAGGTGGGAGGGGTAGGTGCCTGTGTCCTGGCCCCCAGGGGAGGGAGGGAGGAAGAGGATAATGACACCTGACTATCCCACTCTGATATCCTTCCTCCAGAAAAAGCTTCGGAGAAGCGCTCATCCCGGTGGCTATCTCCCGCCTTCCCATTTGACTAGAAGGTGGGGGGTGGACTACTGGGGACCAAAAACCAGGGCTGCTGAGGCAGGCAGCTGACTGTCCTGGGTGCTCAGCTGTGTCTGGCCTGCTTGGCTGCCAGAGGCCAGGTAGGGGCTGGGATGTGGTATCAGGAAGGGCAGGAGGAGTCAGAGAAATAAGACTCTAAGAAAGGTGGGGAGGAGGGTGGGTGGGCCAGGGGGAGGGGGTAGAGGCACATGACCCAAAACCTGATTTCTTTCTCTTTCCTCTCCCTGACTAGTTCCCACAGGTTCCTAACTTAGGAACAAGGCCTGGAGTGGTTTAGGTTTGAGGGTTCTCTGAGCTACCTTCCTACTGCCAAAGCTTGTGGGGAGTAGGCTTGGCACAGTCTTGCTGAGGTGGGTACAGCTTTTGGAATCCCCAGGAATGCGGGTCCTGGTCCTGGGCCACTCCCCACTCAGGGGCAGTAGAACAGTGGTTTGTGGATCAAAACTTTTCTCCCTTGTCATTTGTGAGTGTTAGGGTGTTTGCATGAAAGTCTTACATTGGACCTCACAGTCACACACCTTTTTTTTTTTTAAAGATTTTATTTATTTGACAGAGAGAGAGGGAGAGGGAACTTGCCCAGAGCATGTTCCTGCAGGGGGAGCAGGAGAGGGAGAAGAAGCAGATTCCCTGATGAGCAGGGAGCCCGATGCCCGATCCCAGGCCCCTGGGATCATGACCTGAGCTGAAGGCAGACGCTTAACTTTCTGAGCCACACAGGTACCCCCAGTCACACACTTAATAAACAAAAAGCATGGGGAAAGAATGTAGTCCCAGTTCCATTCTGCATCCTCCAGCCACAGACCAGAGTGGTCAAGTGGGCAAGGCAGGGACAGAAGGCAGGGTCCCTGGTCAGAGACGCTCCTCTGTCTCAACCCCCACCTCCTTCCTCCATTAGGGCTTCATCCCTCTGGGTCACATCCTTCCTTCATAAAGAGCTTCGTAAGGGAAGTATCTTAGAAGGGTGGTCAGGGGCTTTGGATACCTGATACCAGGGCTGGAAGGAGGTAAAATATTTATAGAACATACACCTCAAGTAAGCCATTGTGCCAGATGATGCAGGCGAGGGGAGACGCAGAAATTAAAAGCAGGGAGCTTATGTACTTAGGATTTGAAAAGAGTGGTCCTGAAGTCAATGAGTCATGCCCTTTGGTTCAGAAAACACAAATGGCTGCACGTAAGAAACTCTCCTTGCCTCAAGGAATGCCTGGTATCTGGGAAGACCAGACCCCGGAAGAGACGGGAGTCCCTGCCAGTGCGGCCTGGGAGTCTGGGAGCCAGGGAGGCAGGGTGCCAAGGGCAGGGGATACGGCTGTGGTGAGGCCTGGCGAAGCAGACCTCTCTTCCAGGTTGGGCAGCAGGATGCCCAGGACTGGATGGTGGCTGTGTCCACCTTCCCTTGCCAGGACCCAAGGGCAGGGCAGCTGCAGCACGTTCCTGGGCTTGGGGGCAGGAAGGGAGGCTCATTTGCCCCGGTTCACTTGGGGGGGCCCTGGGCATGGGCGGCGACTCACAGAGTAGACCCGCCTGTTCCCTTCATATCCTGTTATTCAGAAGGCTGTATCCGCTTGGACTGTGAGTGCCTTTTGTCCTGGTGTGAGGGGGTGATGCATGTGGCCTCTGTCGGCAGCTCTGTCTCCAGCTGGGGCAGAACCAGGCCTAGCTCCTCCTTAGGTAATGGGCTGGAGGGTCTTTGGGTCCTCCTATGTATTTTGGGGTGGATATGAGGGAGGGCAGCCTAGCAGGGTGTAGGTGGAGGTCTGCAGAAAGTCTGAATCAATGGATGAGGATATCACCCTTTCCCAGAGAGGGGCAGCCTTCCCTGGGCTCCTGAGGTCCCTGTCCTGGTGCCCAGCTGAAGGGACTGGGCAGGGCCTAGGTCGCTGCCCCCTGCTCTGTGGCCTGGACCAGGGTCTCTGCCAATCCTGCCGCTGGGGGGATACGGCTTCTGGCCTCCCCGCCCCCTTCTAGCTGTGCTTGCTCCCAGGGCAGGGGCCCTGTGTGGGTCAGGTGTGGAGAGGGCAGAGGGATGGGCACTTACTCTACCCCCTTCCCACGGGAGCGTCCTGATCTCACTGGGGCTCTGACAGGCCAAGTGCCTGGGGCTGGGGCAGGGCCTGGGGAAGCTGCTGGGGGAACCTGTTGGGGCGGTTGAGCTGGTGAGCATCTGGATTACAGCAACCACACAGTTCGCATTCCAGGCCCACCCTGGTGCCCCCCTTTTCCTGCCTCATCTCTCCTGCATCCCTCCTGCCAGCCTGGGGGCCCAGGGGGAGGATGAGGGCAGGGGGCCGGACGCGGTTTGGACTGTGGGGTCTCCTCACCTCCCCTGTTCATGGTGCCCAGGCCCCCCTAGGAGTGAGGCGGTGAGATGGCAGACTGCTACACGGAGCTGGAGAAGGCGGTCGTGGTCCTGGTGGAAAACTTCTACAAGTACGTGCCTAAACACAGCCTGGTCAAGAACAAGATCAGCAAGAGCAGCTTCCGGAAGATGCTTCAGAAAGAGCTCAACCATATGCTGACGGTGAGGTCCCCCAACCCAAGGGCCTTGTCAACCCCCCAAGCCTTTGTCCTCACATGGTACCCTCCCTCACTGTGCCTTCTGTCTTTTCAGAGTGACCCCCCAAACCAGGGTCTCCCCCCTCCCCACCCAGGCCTCTGTCCTCTCAGGGTACCCAGGCCTGACCAGGGAGGGCTCAGTTCGAATCTTCCCAGGCAGCAGCTACTCAGGCCAGAGCCCCAGGAGTCCTGCCTTAGGCTCCGTGGGGCCGCTGCCCTCAGCACTGCTGACCCCCATTCCTCTCCAGGACACGGGGAACCGAAAGGCTGCCGACAAGCTCATCCAGAACCTGGACGCCAACCACGATGGGCGCATCAGCTTCGATGAGTACTGGACCTTGATAGGCGGCATCACCAGCCCCATTGCCAACCTCATCCGCCAGCAGGAACAGCAGGACCGCAGCTAGAAGACCCTCCCACCTTCCCTTCATGGCGCCGCCTGCCACCCAGCCCCTGGTGCACTTCCCAGGCTCCCCTCGGCCTCCTCCGCCCACCCAGGCTCCCATCCTCGCTTCTCCCTCCAGATCTTCTGCTGGCCCTTGCTGAACAGGGCAAAGGGCCCCTTTGTGATGTCCCAGTCTGGGGGTGACTCCCTAGGGGTCTTAGTCCCTGGAGCCAGCAGGCTCTGGGGCCCCCTCTGAGTTTTCAATGCTGTTTGGGGAGTTCCACGAGTTTCCTCGCCTGCTTAGCCCATCAACCCTTCCAGCGGCTGATGTTCTGCCTGATTTGGAGTCTCTCCTGACCTCTGGAGGTCAGCTTGCTGCTTGAGGTCTTCCTGCTCCTGGCGGCAGCAGCAGACCTTTCCCCTTTCTCTCACCCCCTTTGCTGGGGAGAAAAGATTCCCAGGGACTTCCCTCCAGCTGCCTCTGGGTCAGGGGACAGCTGAGCAGAGCTGGGCCCCCACCTTCCTACTCACTGAAGCGATGGCAGTGAGGCTGGATTTGGAGTCTGTACCCCTCGCCCAGGCCCATTGTGATGCTCATTAAAGCCTTTCCGCTCCCTGGAACCTCCTCATTCCTTGGTGGTCTTTGCCCTGGGGCCTGAGGCAAGGGAGACTCTCACCAGAGAGAGAAGCCAGAATGCCTGGGTCTGGCAGGTGCTGTTAGCCCTAGGCCAGGAGCAATCCCCATCTGGCTCAGTGAAGGGTCGAAAGCCATGTGTCACCATCCCTGGGCCCTCACAGCCCCCATTCAGACTCCTGTTCCACTTCTGGGCACACAGTGTGTCCCACTGGGCCTCTTTCCGGTTCCATAAGAGGGCAGCCACAGCCCTCAGCCTTGACTCATCCTCATCAACAGATTCTTCTAATACCCAGAGAAGTTTGTGGGATGGGAAAGTAAGGGTGAAGGAAAGGGGTGTGGGAGGCCAGAGCTGACCTGCGGCGGGCGGGGTGGGGGGACAATGCTGGCTTCTCCCTGTTCTTGCTCTGGGTGAGCCAGAACCCCGACCCTCCGGAAGGCCAGCAATAAAGGCAGGAAACCCAGCCAGCAGGCTGCAGATCGAGGGTGTTCCACCTGGGATGGTGTGTTCCGAAATTTCAGACTTTTCCGAAGATGCACAAGCAGGCAGTTTTATTGAAATCCATTTACAGATCCTCAAGTTTTTCAGATAACCTGCTCAGGACAGGCCTGTAGTCACGGCGGTGAGCGGTCCCCTTCCGCAACTCCCCTTTACAGTGACCCCTCCCCAGTTACCCTTTGCCTGTCCTGAGGGTCACTGCGCTACCCTAAGTGGGGAAGAGCTTGTTCACATTTCTTGAGGGGGGGTCTCTATATATAATTGTGGTAAAGGGGCGCCTGGGTGGCTCAGTCGTTAAGCGTCTGCCTTCGGCTCAGGTCGTGATCCCAGGGTCCTGGAATCGAGCCCCGCAATCGGCTCCCTGCTCCGCGGGAGGCCTGCTTCTCCCTCTCCTATTCCCCCCGCTTGTGTTCCCTCTCTCGCTGTGTCTCTCTGTCAAATAAATAAATAAAATCTTTAAAAATAATAATAGCAGGTGAAGGGGCGCCTGGGTGGCTCAGTCGGTTAAGCGTCTGCCTTCGGCTCAGGTCATGATCCCAGGGTCCTGGGATCGAGCCCCACATCGGGCTCCCTGCTCCGTGGGAAGCCTGCTTCTCCCTCTCCCACTCCCCCTGCTTGTGTTCCCTCTCTCGCTGTGTTTCTCTCTGTCAAATAAATAAAATCTTTAAAAAAATAAATAAATGAACAAAGCTTTATAAAAAAAATTGTGGTAAAAAACATGTAACATAATTTCACCCTCAACAACTTTTTTTTGCCCCCCCCAAGATTTTATTTATTTGAGAGAGAGAATGAGCAGGGTTACGGGCAGAGGGAGAAGCAGACTCTGCATTGAGCAAGGAGCCCGATGCAGGGCTCTATCCCAGGACCCTGGGATCATGACCTGAGCCCAAGACTGATGCTTCACTGACTGAGCCACCAGGCGCGCCTCCGTCAACATCTTTTAAGGGTACATTCTGGTTGTTAACTACACGTACTTTGTCGTACTGCAGATCTCGAGAACTTTTTCATCTTTCATGACAGACCCTGTACATCAAACAGCAGACCCCTCAGCCCCTGGAAACCACTATTCTACTGTGTGTTTCTATGAGTTTGATGACTTTAGATATCTCAGATAAGTGGAATCCTGCCATATTTGTCTTTAGGGTTCGCTTAAATCACGTAGTATAATGTCCTCACGGTTTATCCCTCTTGTTGCATACACCACCATTTCCTTCTTTTTAAAGGCTGGGTAATATTCCATTCTATGTATACCACATTTTCCTTATCATTCACCTGTTGGCGGACATGTAATTTGCTTCTACTTCTTGGGAGCACTAACATCTCTTCAAGATTCTATTTTCAATGCTTCTGAGATACACCCAGAAGTGGGATTGCTGTAAGTTCTGTTTTTCAAATTTTTGAGGAACCTCCACAGTGGCTGCACCAGTTTGCATTCCCACCGACAGTGCACGAGGGTTTTGATTTCTCCGCATTGTTGCCAAGACTTTATGTTCTGTTTTTTTGATAGTGGCCATCCTAACAGGTGTGAGGTGATATCTAGTGGTTTTGATTTGCATTTCCCTGATGTTGAGCATCTTTTCATGTGCTGTGGACTGCATATCTGCTTTGCATAAATGTCTATTCAATGTCGATTTACTCTCTCTCTCTTTTTTTTTTTTTTTTTGAGTAGGCTCCATGCTGGGCGTGGAGCCCAACATGGGGCTTGAACTCACAACTTTGAGGTCATAACCTGAGCCGAGGTCAAGACTTAGATGCTTAACCAACTGAGCCATTCAGGCACCCCTATTTGCTCATTTTAAATTGGGTGATTTGTGTCTTGTTTTCTTTTTTTTTTAAAGATTTAAAAAAAAAATTTATTTGTTTGACAGAGAGTTAGAGAGCACAAGTAGGCAGAGTGGCAGGCAGAGGGAAAGGGAGAAGCAGGCCCTCTGCTGAGCAGGGAGCCCGATGCGGGGCTCGATCCCAGGATGCTGGGATCATGACCTGAGCCGAAGGCAGCCGCCCAACCGACTGAGCCATCCAGGCGCCCTGGGTGATTTGTGTCTTATTGTTGTTGTTAATATTGAGTTGTAGTTCTTTTTGTATTATTATTATTATTTCTTAAAACTACTAAGTGCTTATTATTATTATTATTATTTTTTAAAGATTTTATTTATTTATTTGACAGAGAGAGACACAGCGAAAGAGGGAACACAAGCAGGGGAAGTGGGAGAGGGAGAAGTAGGCTTCCCACGGAGCAGGGAGCCCGATGCGGGGCTCGATCCCAGGACCTGGAATCATGACCTGAGCCAAAGGCAGACGCCCAACGACTGAGCCACCCAGGCGCCCCTGTATTATTTTTTTTTAAGATTTAAAAAAAAAATTTTATTGTTTAAATTTTAAAACTTTTTTTTTAAGTAATGTCTACACCCAGTGTGGGGCTTGAACTCACCACCCCGAGATCAAGAGTCGCACGCTCCACCGACTGAACCAGCCGGGTGTCCCTTTATGTATTCTTAATATTAACCTCTTGTTCAATGTACAGTTTGCAAGTATTTCTCACCTCTTGTAGGCTACCTTTTCACCCCGTTGTTTCCTCTCTTCTGCAGAAGTTTTGAAGTTTGATGTAGTCCCATTTGTCTATTTTTGCTTTTGTTAGCTAGCTGCTTTTGGTGTCATATCCAAGAAATCATTGCGCATTACAATGTCATGATTTCCCCCTATGTCTTCTTCTAGGAGTTTTATGGTTTTAGGTCTTATGTTTAGGATTTTAATCCATTTAGAATGGATTTTTGTTTGCGGTGTAAGGTCTGGGTCCCACTTCTTCTGCGTGTGGATGTCCAGTTTTCCCAATACCATTTGTTGAGGAGACTGTCTTTCCCCATTGTGTAGTCTTGGCAACCTTATTGGAAATCATTTGACCACGTAAGTAAGGCTTTATTTTTGGGCTCCTCATTCCATTCCATTAGTCTGTATGTCTGTCTTTATGCCACTTCCATAGTGTTTTGATTACTGTAGTTTTGTGATATGTTTTAAAATCAGAATATGTGAGGCCTCTAGCTTTGTTCCTCTATCTCAAGATTTTTTTGGCTACCTGGGATCCTTTGAGATTCAATATGAATTTTAGCATAGTTTTTTTCTATTTCTGCCAAAAAAACCCCCCACCTTTAGGATTTTGATAGGGATGCATGTAATCAGTAGATCACTTTGGGTAAGACCAACATTTCAACAATATGAAGTCTTCCAATCCATGAACATAGGGCTTCTTTCTATTCATCTCTTCTTGCTTTCAGCAGTGTGTTCTGTAGTTTTCAGCAGAGGAGTCTTCGGCCTGCTTGGCTAATTCCTAGTTATATTACTCTTTTTGATGCTGTTGTAAATGAGATTATTTTCTTAATTTCCTTTTTGGACTGTTCAGTGCTAGTGTATAGAAACACAACTGATTTTTGAGTGTTGATTCTGTGCCAGCAACTTTGCTGAATGTATTAGTTTCTTTAGGGTTTTGTACGTATAAGATCATGTTGCCTGGAAACATGATCTTCCTTTCCCGTTTGGATGTCTTTTATTTCTTTTCATTGCCTAATTGCTGTGGCTAGGACTTCCAGAACTTTGTTGAACAGAAGTGGTGAGAGGGGGTGTCCTTGCTCTGTTCCCAGTCTTAGAGGAAAAGCTCTCAGTTTTTCACTGTTGAGTATGATGTTAGCTGTGGGTTTTCATATATTTATTTATTTGACAGAGAGAGACACAGTGAGAGAGGGAACACAAGCAGGGGGAGTGGGAGAGGGAGAAGCAGGCTCCCCGTGAGCAAGGAGCCCGAAGTGGGGCTCGATGCCAGGACCCTGGGATCATGACCAGAGCCAAAAACAGACGCTTAACGACTGAGCCACCCAGGTACCCCAGGGTATTGAATTTTGTCAAATGTTTTTTCTACATCAATTGTGATGAGCATGTGTTTTTTTCTTTTATTCTGTTAATGTGGTGTGTTATGTTTATTGCTTTTTTTTTTAAGATTTTATTTATTTATTTGATAGAGAGAGAAAGAGCACAATTGGGGGAGTGGGAGAGGGAGAAGCAGGCTCCTTGCTGAGCAGGGAGCCCGACGCGGGGCTCAATTCCAGGACTCTGGGATCATGACCCGAGCTGAAGGCAGATGCCCAACTGACTGAGCCGCCCAAGCACCCCTCGTTTATTTTTCTTCGAAATTCTTTCTTTTTATTAAGCCTTGATTTTTTTTAGAGCATTTTTATGTTCAGCAAAATTGAACCCACACATGCACACCTTTCCCCATTAGTGACATCCTGGACCAGAGCCGTACCTTTTTTTTTTTTTTAATTAAAGATTTTATTTATTCATTTGAGACACAGAGATAGAGAGAGAGCATGAGCCGGGGGAGAGGCAGAGGCAGAGGGAGAAGCAGGCTCCCCGCTGAGCAGGAGCCCGATGTGGGGCTTGATCCCAGGACCCTGGGATCATGACCTGAGCAGAAGGCAGACACCCAACCATCCGAGCCACCCAGGCGCCCCGAGAGCCGTACCTTTGTTACAACTGATGAACCTCCACTGATACCTCACAACCACACAAAGTCCGCAGTTTAAATTACGGTTCACTGTTGGTGTTGTACCTTCTATGGGTTTGGACAAATGTGTAAGGACACGTATCTCTCATTATAATATGTTGCAGAGTATTTTCACTGCCTTACAAATCTTCTTTCTTTCTTTCTTTTTTTTTAAGATTTTATTTATTTATTTGACAGAGAGAGACACAGTGAGAGGGAACACAAGCAGGGGGAGTGGGAGAGGGAGAAGCAGGCTCCCCGCTGAGCAGGGAGCCTGATGCGGGGCTCGATCCCAGGACCCCGGGATCATGACCCGAGCTGAAGGCAGACGCTTAACGACTGAGCCACCCAGGCGCCCCTTCTTTCTTCTTTTTTAATGTAGATGCTTCCTGCTATAAACTTCCCCTTAGGCACTGCTTTTGCTGCATCCCATGTTTTGGTATGCTGTGTTTTCATTTTTATTTTATTATTATTATTATTAAAGTAGGCTCCATGCCCAGTGTGGAGCTCAGTGTGGGACTTGAACTCATGACCCTGCGATCAAGACCTGAGCCAAGATCAAGAGTCAGCCATTTAACTGACTGAGCCACCCAGGTGCCCCTTTATTTTTTATATTTTTATTTTTTTAAAAGATTTTATTTATTTATTTATTTGAGAGAGTGAGAGAGCATGAGTGGGGAGGAAAGGGAGATGTAGGTTCCCCATGAGCAGGGAGCCTGATGTGGGACTCGATCCCAGGATCCTGAGATCATGACCTGAGCTGAAGGCAGATGCCCAACCGACTGAGTCACCCAGGCACCCCTTTATTTTTTATTTTTATTTTAAAAAAATTTTTAGGTAATCCCTACACCCAGCGTGAGGTGTTTTTTTTTTTTTTTTTTTTTTTTCCAGCGTGAGGTTTGAACTTACCACTCCGAGATCAAGAGTCACATGTT